GCTGATCCGAAAACTTTCTTTTTTTGTTGTTGCTTAATGGCCCTGAGATTCTTATAAGAGATTGATTCTGTCAGAAACCTTTTTTTTTCCTATGAGAAAATGTGTTTTGCTTTACTAACATCGTCATATGGAGGTTTGGGACATCCGTTGCTCTTTCTTCTAAACAGGTTAGTTTCCTTTTTCTTGTTTTTCACGTAACCTGACTGAGCGTTGCTTTCAGGGGTTGGAGTAAATATCAGTTTTCTGGTAGGCCAATGCAGTCAGTGCTGTGTGTAGGCTTCAGGATTCAGGTCTGCAGGTGTGTTGTTGCTTTCCATCTTGAAGCGATTCGGATATATTTCCAGTTTTGTCAGGTTGAATTATTTCTCTTCTCGGCTGAGGATGGATGACAGTTGGACGGTTGCAGCTGCAGGTTGGCTTTGCTCAGCTGTTTGTACCGAAATGCATCATTTATCGTTTCAAGCATCCCATCCTTTAGTGTGGTCACTCGTTCCTCAACCGAGCAGAGCTCCAGGTGGCAGGTCTTCCTGCATGTTGTTCATCTCCATTGGCTCACAGATTGAAAGCTTTTCCTTCATTTTCAGAACGTGAAGATGTTCAATAAAGGCTGTATGGGTAATGGATTGATGAACGGGAATAAAATAACAGCACAGAGATCAGAAGTGATTCAGCCAGATATAAACTGTAGCTCACCTGCTGCTCTGGCTTTTTCTTTTCAATGAATTTTAATCAGTCAAACTTTTCTGCATTACTGCAAAACATGCAGCTGCACAGAAATATGGGACAGAGTGATCAAGATGGTGCTGTGTTGCATTATAAGAGACTGAAGCTTTTTCTTTAACTCTACCACCTCTTCTTAAGGCATCAGAGGATTAAAAAGGCTCCTGGATCTGCTGTTTAGACAGTTTCCATTTTAATTAGGAGAAAAAGTGCAGAAGACCTTCACAGGGAAGAGAGGAGTTGGTTTGATCTCTGGTTTTCCCTCGCTTTTGTCTAAGAAGCAGTACGCAGAAAACTCTGCCACTGTTTGATGGCAAACGATATAGGAGAGGAGAATCAATCATTAGCTCCCAATGCACCACCACCTGCTGGAGATGCCAACAACCTTTAACCCCAGAGGACAAAGATCTGCAAGAAATAGGTAGCAATCGCTCAGCTTCTGAGAGATCCGAGGGAAATATAGAGCTGCTATACATTCAAATACACCAAAACACACCAGAGCACGGATTTTCCTGTAGAAATTAAGCCTGGTGCTGATATAAGATTTTCATACTTTAAGTTTCCTGTAAAATATACCTGAAAGATCTTTAAAAAGACTCATGTAACAAACTGAGAAAAAAAAATGTGTGTATTTTTTTTGTATATTTCCACCTCATTTTGTATCCCAAAGACGTTTGGCTTATAAAATGTATTAATATAAAATTCATCTTCGTTTGTTTTTCCTAAACTGAGAATTGGGATAAGCCGATTTTCTTTCTTTGAAATGACTTGATTCCTCATGTTTGATTGATTTAAACACCTTGAACTATAGAAAGTTTTTCCTAATAAAAAAAAGATTCTCAAATACTTCACATCTGCAGCTCTGAGCTGCCTGAAGATTTCATGCTTCATGTTTCACCCTAAATCTTAACATGAATCTATTGTTTTGAATCAGCAATCAGTTTGCAGAAATCTCTCCATGTGAACTTCACAGATCGTATCACTGACAGCCATTGTTCTTCATGGGGTGTTTCAGGCCTTTTTTAAAGTCCTGAAAAAAGAAGATTTAAGGCTTAAGATTTAATGTTATCTGAAAATTGTCCTCAGAGGAATTATCAGAATGCAAATTCACATTTTTGAATTGCAAAATAAGATTTTGATTTTGTGCTAAAATTTTAACATTATATAAACTAAAGAAATAAAATTTAAAATTGAATCGATCCAAATTTTGAGTCCCAGATCACAGCTTCTTTTGTCAATGATATTTCTGAGACTTTAACCAACTACAGTTTTTGTTTTCATGTTTCTGACCATCAGATCTAACAAAAGCATTAAAGGATCCAGATGTTTTGTTTTGGACCATGACTGAATACAGAACATTGATTTAGAGGCTTTGATCCAATCCGACTGAAGGAGCATTGTGCAACAAAATATTGAGGTTCTACTCTGACCCAATCATGCTGGTTTTATCGGACTTAAAATTGAGCTCTTAGGGAGTATTTCTTTTTTCTGGACTGGATGGTTTCTAAATCAAGGTGGCCTTTAGTTAAAATAAATCTACCATGAGACGGAACAAAAAAAGGTCTCTGATGTTATGAGACTATGTAAAAAAGTAAGAATCCCGGATATGTGTAGTAACAAAATAAACCGTATTAAGTTAAACCACATCTAATAAATCTCTTTAATGTTCATTTTCTTCCCCTTTTTGTCATTCACTCAAACTGATTTAGAAATCGGATCACCAATTTAAGAGCATTTAGTGTCAGATTTTATTTCACCCCTTTCATTTCTGAATAAATCTTTAAAATGCAAGTTGATGAGAAACTGGAACATGTTTAAATATCCATGTCAGAATTATAGTCTCTTTGAGAGATTAAAGAGATGGGATAAACATTCAGTTAACTTGACAAATCCAGAGAGGTTGGAAAGTTGTCTCAACAAAAATTCACGTGTTTGTGGTTTAAATACTAACATGAAAATAAAATGATTCAACTCAATATCTGGGTCTTCAACAGTTTTGGGGTTTTTGAACTGGATTTCTAAATAAATTGCATTTAACTAATATATTTTTGATAGAATTTTATCTCAGGTTTTTAGTCAGAGATTGCACCAGAAATCTGTGAGATTTAATGGACCAGTGAATAAAGTGGAACTCTTTCTCAGCTAAAGAACATTCAGGATTAAAGATTGTGGGTGAGTTCCAGCCTGATCTGGTGATCTCCTGCTCAGCTTCAATGAATGATCTAAACTCAAACACTTTGCTCATCCAGACCAGAATCAATAAGTTCTGATCAGTTTCCCAGCTTTGGTTACTTGGTTCTCCTTAATCCAGAATCCAGATATTTTCCTGAATTAAATTTTTTGAATTAGTTGAATCAAAGCATAACTCTTTCCTGATATAATTTATTTTATTTTAATAACCCTAATAGAAGTTTTTTTTACTAGTAGCATTTTATTTGTGTCATTTATTTCGGTTCTCAAATTATAACTAAAGCCTCACCTGAAGCTGTTTGACTTTATCTGGAAATTTTTCTTTTTTAGAATTTTTATAAAATCCTTCTTTTAACTTCAAAGCTAATGGATGAACACCAGCTGGGTTCTCTTCGGCACATCCATCATCTTCTTTCTCACTTTAGGTTATACGACTGAAAACACTCAGATTAACATTTTTCTTTCTTTCTTTTTTTTTTTTTTGGAAAAAAATTCACCGAAATCTACAGTCCCAGCCTCACAGGCTCAGAAACTCTGACATTAAACCCCGGAGCGCCTTTCTTGGGCTCATTTTCACCGGTTTTTTTCATCATAATTATTATATATGCGTGTATTTTATAATTTCCTTTGCATTAAATTTTCTGTTTTTTTTATAAAACATATTTGACATATTATTACTCTCCCAGACCGACTTCCAAACTGAATGACTTTTAAATCCGACATAAAGGGAGTTTATTCAGCTTAGTTACAGATTTTGTTGTTGTTGCAGCAAAAGCTCGTTTTTTGTAGTTTGTGAAATGTGCCACCCTCATGAGATCTAGATAGAATAGTCTGAACTTTTATTTGAGAAAAAAAAAATTAAATCAGCACAATAACATGTTATGCTTCTGGTTGTCAAATGATAAATGTCTTAATTAGTTACTTACATTATTTCTAAGCTATATAAAAATACAGAAATTTATAAAGGATGCCGCAGAAACGTGAAACGAAACGGTGCTTTAATCTTCATGTGTTTTAAAACAAGGAACGAAAATCTAAACCTGATCACTAAAGTTGGAAGTTTTTCTGAAACTTTTCACAGGATGAAAAATTTAACTTTTAAAACTGTGTGCATTTAGAATTCCAAACCTGCCCTCCTGTTAGAACTGATTGGTGCGCGGATTTTTGTGGCTTATTTGCCGCAAAAGTTTGCGCATCTTCCTCCTCCTGTTGATGGATCTGCACTAAGTTCAACCATGGCAGAAACCCGCATTGATTTATTGAAGCCAAGCGCTCAAATTTCCCATTCAAACCCCTCGGAGCGCGGATTGGGGTCAGTAGCAGTTCCCTTAAAGAATGAACTTTAATTGAAGCCACACATTGCTGGTTTTATTCTCAGCTTCTGGGAAACATGAAATAAATTATGACGAACTTTAAATGATTCTGAATCTTCTCAAAGATTTATTTTTATTTTTTTAAAGTATGGAATTATTTTTAAAACTCGTTATTAATTGTTTAAAAGCTCAATAGGCGGTTTTTATACCTTGAAATGTTTAGCCGCGGTGTGCGCAGCAGCCACGGCCTCTTTGCGCTCTTTACGCGCTGTGCTTCCGCGGCAGGAATAGTATATTAATTGTTTTTAAATGAACAAGGCTAAGTTTAGATATTTATCCATTATTTCTGGGTAGTTTTAGGACAAAGCAGCGAGAAGCAACTGCTAGATTTAAAACCGGTGGAGAGAAGAAGGGAGGAGGCGTGAGGAAGCAGCTGCGCGCCGCCGAAAATCATCCCAGTGGGTGAAATGATGGAAAGCAGGAGAGTGTTTGAGTTTTTAATTTCTCTTATGATATAAATTCAAAATATGTTCATTTTTTATGTTTTGATGATAAATAAATCTAGATGCGCTTAATGCCATAGTTTATCTGGAAAGTTTTCCTCAAATCTTCATCCTGCTTAAATTATTTGCAGTTGTCAGATTTAAAATGTCAGTATCCCAGTCGGACTTAGTTTAACTTTAACTCTCTGTTTTGTTCATGAAGCCTCGCAGATCCTCCTGTGTGCTTTCATGTCCACGCCGGAGTTTCTAGGTGCAGCTGCGCGGTGTGTTTTACCTCTGGGCCGCTGTGTTGGCGTCCAAAATCCCTGCGCCCTGCATCCAGGAACGGACCGGGGTCATGCCGGTGGGGAGCGGCTCCTCCTTCATGGTCAGGGCCCCCCGGGGGAGGCTGTCCTGGATGGAGAACATCAGAATGTCCTTCTGGGAGCTTTTTCTTCACCAGAAACAAGGCAGAAGATGAAGAGTAATCCTCCCTGTACCAAGCGCTCAAAGAAGCCAAAGGACCACCTGGATTAAGGTGGAGAAAAGAGGAGTGATGAGGAGGAGGGGAGGAGGTGGATGAGGAGGGCGGGGGGGAGGCCCAGCAGCTACCTTCCCCAAAGTACCGGGTCCTGATCCAGAGAAGAGCCGCGGATTCCTCTGGGCTTCGCCGGGCTTGGTTTAGATCCCAGCCGCGAGTTGAGCTAAAAGAGGGCGGAGGGAAGAGCGCGGAGCGGGCAGAGCATCTCAGAGGAGCTGCAGAGGGTCCGGGGAGCCGGAGCGCACGAAGCCGGGATCAGAGGGAGACGAGCAGCCACGGATTGAGCGGCGAGTAAAAGTGGGATAAAAAAAGGGAGAGCGCTTCAAAAAGGGAGTAAAATGAAATGATTAGCAAACAAGAGGGAGGGACGGGCCATGGAAAGCTGCTGCTCTCGGGGGAACAGGGGGATTGGGCAGCGAGAAATCTGCCCTTCCCTCCCCGGCTCTTTATGGCTCCTCCGTCCCGGCGGAGAGCTCCTTCTCTCGGTCTCTATGCACAGCAGGTCCCGGGGGACCAGCGTGGAGCAGAGGGGGGCGGGGCCTAACCATATAAGGAATCCTAATTTGAATATCCGTCTCACCTCTGGCGTGTGATTGGCTGCATTTTCTAGGTGCGTCACTTATTTTTTTAAGAGCGCTCCAAATATGGGATTCCGCGTGTTGGGCCGCGCGGACTGTGGAAAAAAGGTAAACACTAGACGCACTGATGACATGTGACCGATGATGGCCCCTGAGAGCGCAGGGGCCCAACATGCATTTCAAGCTGAGTGACTCTGAAGCAGGTTATTGATCTGGATCTGGATCCACCCAGACTCCAGTTGTGGTGGATTTCTGTTTAGCGCTCCTCATTCTGGCTTTTTATTTCTACATGCAGACATATGGCGCTCTGCTTCTTTATGGGCACAGCAGGCGCCAACATCACTAATCAGACGCGCTTCCGCGCCAGAAATGATTTCACATCAAACAATTAAAACAGAACAGGATCCAGTGCAAACAATAGCAATCTGAATTTCATTACAAACATTCTGGAAGTTATGTTTGATCGCTGCTCGTGACTTTTTGTGCACGAGGATGCGGACATACCCTAACGTGTGTATTTGTCAGTTTTTGTTTGAGTATTTTTCTTCTTTTTTTTTTTTTTTTTTTCAGAAATCCTCTAATTAAGCAGAAACTCCGGAGCAGCACTGATTAAATATTTATCCTCCTTTAGCCCAGTGCCTTCCTCCTGGGAAATAGAAACGTCTGGAAATCCTGGAAAAAAAAAAAAAAAAACCTCAGTATGGAGGAAGAGAGAGAGAGAAGTCAATGAGATACAGCAAACATGGAGATGAAGGGAAAGATGATGAAGAGGAAGACAGACCTAATTAGGAACACAACAACAGGTTCATCGATCATGAATTAAATCTCACTTCAGATATTCATCCACATGTTTTAATGGAAAAAAGTGATTTTCCTTATATTCTTCAACTCAGTTTATATCATTTCTGAAAGCGTCTTGGGCCTCAGCTCTTTAATTCCTCAACCTGAATACACTCTGAAGATCCTGAAATATTTCCCATATAGAATATTCCAAGAAAAAACCTCCTGAAAGACTTAAGTCTCATCAGTGATCTGTTAAAAGCATAAATGAATATGGGCCTCATAATAGAGACAATCTCTTCTCCAAATCTATCTTTATTTTCTTACACATAGATTGATTTATGGAATGAAAAATCAAAAATACTAAATATAAAAATATACACTGGTTTGGTACCTCAAAGAAATGCTATAACAGTTTAGAAGTTCCCATGATAGCACTGTATCACCTTATTCCAGTCAAGAATATTTCCTCAAATGTAATATTAATTAAGTTAATGAACTAAATGGTGAGAAAAAAACAACCAAACAGACAAATGACACAATTAATTTAAAAAAGTTCCACAGAGACTCCTTAAATGTTATTAATCATGAATTTTAGGGTTTCTGTTAATCTTTTTATTCTTGTTTCTCCAAAATGATGTTTTATCTTAAAGAAACATCTCAAACATTTTATTTTTAGAGCAGTGATCTAAAGTCCAGGATCCCCAGAAATCTCTGTGACCCTGTATAGCTTAATAATCCACACCAACAGTCCTTATGTGGACCTGTAGAGGACACATGAAGGCCAGGTTTATAGCAGCAGAAGTTGAATAAAATACTTTCTGTAAAGTTTTAATCTACCTCCTACATTTTGAACTTATTTATGGCAGTTTTCAATGTATTTTATTAAACTGTAGATTTTCTTAAAGTCTTTTTCACAGATTATTTGATCAGCACCAACTATAGACCAAGAGCGCCCCTCAGCGGATAGAAGTGAGAACTGCTCTACAAAATCAATCGGCTATCTTGAGATTTTTAATTCCTATGATAGTGTTTGATTACTTCTGGTGTTTTGTGCTTTAATATCCACACAAATAAAGTTCTAATCAAATAATTGTTGGAATTTAGAGTAAAACAGGGAAAAATTTATAAAGAGAAATATTTAACAGATCACCCGACAGTGGTATGGATCTGATCTGTTCTCTAAAAACTATTTTCTTTTTCAGTGAGGAAGTTTTAACGAGCCAACTTTATTTGAAAATTATATATATTTATTCTAAATTTTAGATGTTCTAAATAATTTAATATTTTAATACTACAAAATATAATTGTACAACATTTTTAATCTGAAAATTTGTTGTTCATCTAATAAAATATATTCTAAAATATTTTACACTTCAAAGTCTGAACTGCATTTTAATATGTTTTAAAATATTTCTGTACAAGCTTCTTCTTCTCAAGTGATCTTGTAGCAAACGACCGACGGCTCTTTCATAGCCACCGTACCTACTGCTGCTGCATGAATCACATGCAGACCTGAATAATACTTACATAACAGATTAACAAACATCTAATATTCTGCAGACAGTTTGTTTATTTGAGCCCGCTGTGGTTTATTATTTTTATTTTTTTTAACCTGCCTATGCAATGTATTTTTATCTGTTGGTTTATTTTACTGATGGTTTAGAACAGAAGTGTCTATCCCTGAGGGGTCATTTAGAGAGCCAGGGCCAGGGGGAGCTAACAGTATAAAAAAAACAAAAAAACAAAAAACAGAAATATAGGTAGCAGTAATTAAAATGAAAAGGAGCAATTGAAACGACACATAAACAACAGATCTGGCAACAGTATCACGATAATACACATGGAAATACTCCAATATTGCTCATTAGAAATCAGTTATTTAAACCCCTCCGAGTTCAGAAGTGGAAACAAATTGGAAACAATAGTCAGTCTCCTTCTCTGGGTTTTAAAGGCCAGAAAGCAGAGCTTGCATCTTCTGGAGAGATAAAAACAAAGCATGAGCAGGGTCACTAAGGAGTTAGCCTGTTGCTGTTGCACAAAGCCCAGGTGGTGAGAGGTGGGACTAATAATCTTGCACACCTTTAAGGTATAATGAACGCAGTTCCTAATCTGTTAGGTCAGAGGTCTTCAACAGGGGGTCCACGACCCCTAAGGGGTCCGCTGAGGTACTGCATGGGGGTGGTGTTTTGGTTTTGGTTGATTAAAAATTTCTTTTTTTTTTTATATTCCGCCCTGCATTTTGTGCACTAATTGAAATGTCTTTAAATACGCATTAACATGAATTCAACACACTGTAAAAAAACAGATAAATGGAGGCAGAAGATGTCTTTCAATCATCAATGCACACATTCAGCGACACACAGGAGCTGTTTCAAGCTGGGCACCGTTTCATTCACAACATCTGTCCCATCAACCAGGATTCAGAATCAGAAATACTTTAATAATCTCAGTGAGACATTACTTTCATTACATTACTCCATCTGTAATAGAGTGACTATAGGAGCAGTTTGATATAACACTATTTCATAAAATACATATAAACAGGGGGTCCCCACTCCATCTCTCCATCAGTTTGGGGGTCTTTGGCCTGGAAAACATTGAAGACCCCTGTGTTAGGCAATAGAGTAGCAATAATAGCATATAGAAAAGGGTAATACACTTTCAATAAATAAGTGGATGTTCTGCTCATGTACAGCTTGTTAAATTGTTTTGTTATTGAGCTGTGCTACATACTTAAACGTTACTTGCCTTTCTGGCTTTGTACACCTTGACTTACACTATTTTTAGATGGATAACTATGATATCAGAACAAATGGATTTTCATTGCATTAAATCATTTAAGAGTTCAAATGTATGGGTCATACAAACAAAGCAATGGGCTAACCCCCAATAAGCTATGGTCCTTTGGTTTAAATGATAGTGTTTCAATAACTGTTCCCAGGTGTCTGAGGTAACGACATGCAACTTGCAATCCCAACCCATTGACTTATTTGAACCTATCAACCTCAGTAAACATCAATGGTCCAATACATGATAATACAACATTAAATTAAAGAGGAAACCATCATGTTCGCAGGTATGGAAATGTAAATCTTTGGACGCTAACTGTCCAACATTCACAATCTGAACCTGGGGATACATTTTGAAAATTTCATTTTAGTTTCAGATGTCATGTTCAAATTCTCTCTGCGTGAGGACACATCCAAGGTTTAACATTTAAGAATTTTATTTTGAAAAACCACACCTGCTTGAATTACAACTTTTTTAACAAATAAAACCTGAAAAGTGGGGCGTGCAAAACTAATCGGACTCTTTACTTTTCAGTTAAGTTCAGTGAGGATCTCTGAATTATCCAATGTTGACATAAATGACCAATGATGATAAATAGAATCCAATTGTTCTTAATCAAGTCATCATCTAAATGCACCTGCTCTACGATAGTCTCAGAGGTCTGTTTGAAGCGCAGATAGCATCATAAAGAACAGTGAACACACCATTCAGGTCTAAGATACTGTTGTGTGATGCAGGGTCTTCTGTCAGAACAGCATACGCTGTCAGATCGGCATACATTGTTCTAATAAGCATGTGCAACAGAAAATTATTCCCACATTGAATTTTAGCAGCAGTGCAGCGACCAGCAAAAGCACATTTATTTTAACTTTTAAAAAATCAGCAAAATCAAATATATCAGCTTTGATTATAATGTTATTTCTTGGATGCAGAAATGGCCAGAGATGAGAAATTTGTGGGATGTTGAGGGAAGATTCTCTATAGCTAAAATTGTATTGGTCAATATTAGTTTAAATAAGTTACCTTAGTAGGAAAAAACTGTGTGTGGGAATTAAAATTAGGTTAGATTTTGTTTTCATGTTTAAAATCATAGAAAATATTGGCTGTGCTTTATATTGTGACTAAGAATTAATTTAGTTTATATAGAAACTAAAAGTATGCCGATCTGACTCTAGATTTGGATAGAAAATGATTTGCCAAGCTTGAAACATCCCAAGGAGCACTCTGAAAGCAATTACACTGAAATTGAAGAAGTATCAGGAACACCGCAACTCTACGAAGACCAAACCAAAATTAAGTTTTTGTAAACAACACAAAACTGCTTTTCACCCCAAACACACCATCCCCAGTGTCAAACATGGTGGTGGCAGCATCATGGTTTGGGCCTGCTTTTCTCCAGCAGGGACAGAGAAGGTGGATAAAATTGATAGGAAGATTGATGAAGCCAAAAACAGGACCATTCTGGAAAAAACCTGTTGTAGTCTGCAAAAGACCTGAGATTGGGATGGAGGTTTATCTTCCAAGATCCAAAACAGAAAGCAAAATCTATGACAGAATGGTTCACAAATAAACATATCCAGGTGTTAGAATGGCCAAGTTAAAGTTCAGACCTGAATCCAATCAAGAATCTGTGGAAAAGCTGTTTTGCAAGAAAGAATGGGCTAAGCAAAACTGATAAATACCCCCAAGAGACTTGCAGCTGTAATTGCAGCAAAAGGTGGCGCTACAAAGTATTAACTATAGGGGGCTGAATAACTTTGCAGTGCCATTTTTTTTTTTATTGTTAAAGTTTAAAATATCCAATAAATGTTGTTCCACCCCATGATTATGTCCCACTTGTTGTTGATTCTTCAAAAAGAAAAATACAATTTTATATCTTTATTTAAATAAAATGTAACAACAATTAACTGTGCAAAGTGTGTGTGTTTTTTTTTTTTTTTTAGGTCCTTGGATGGTGAGAAACATACAGCTGGGTTCAGCAGAATTATTGCTTTTAGCCAGAAAATATTTTCTGGCTCATTCTGTTGATCAGTAGGGAGACTAAATGTTCAACAAAAGAGGATCTGAGAGACTTCTAAGATACTAATCTGTTCAAAATACTGAGGTTTGTGCCTTTTTAACAATCTGTTATTTTGCATCGGAAAATGTATTGTATTTTTCACTCAGGGTTCTGGTAGATAGAGTGTTTACACACAAGAGGGCAGTGAAGTACTAGAAGCAAGGCTGTTTTTTTTTTTCTTTTTCTATTCAGGTACAGAGATTTTATTACTGACACACAGCTGGTATGTGTCTGTGTCTCCGATTCATTTAGTTTGATCCGTGTTTGTCGGCCACAGATATTGTTTTTGCATCCATATTTCAATTACATCTTGTGATTAATCTTAGGAAATATGTTTTTTTTTTTATTTAAAATGTTTTCCTTCTAGAAGGCAAAATAAGAACAGATATATAATAACCCTTTATTGACCATAACAGGAGAAATGTAAGCTATAAAGTAAGAGTCAAAAAAGGAACAAGCAGAAGCACACTAAGAAAAACCTTACAACTCAAAACGAAAGAAAGTGTATAACTAGGAGAAGGTTAGATTTATATTACATGCAGTTGAGATCTAGAGGCAATTAACCTTTTTAAAAAACAAGAATTAAACTTGATTTGTGTTTATTTGAGCACTCTTTTAAGTCCAAAGACCCCAAATCACTTGACACTACCTTGGACCCTTTACAGACACTGTGGTTTGCTACATTATAGCCAGAGCAGGCCTGTGGTCATACTTAAATTATATATTTTTTTTATTTATAATAAGAAACAGGAATGATGATGGGGAATGTGAGGGTTATAGATAAAAAGAGTTTAAATTACTTTTCAAGAAAGTGTTTAAAAATATGCAATTGAAAGAGAGGATTTATATAAAAATAAGAGGGAAAAAATCTTAAATCAATATTATGAAATAAGGGGGATATAGAAGAAATTATGATTATGAATAAAGCTTTGTTCTTATTTTCATACGTACAAATTTAAAACAGATTTTAGAAGGTGTAGGTAGGCTATCAAGTTATTCAATCACACAGTAGGGGGCGGTATGCACCTCAAAGGTTAGTTGAAGAACAGGATGATGTCGAAGAGGATGATAGTGACGTCATCACGTTCACATAGACGTCAGCACGTATCGCCTGGAAACCAAGCGTAAAATGAATTCAAAGGCAGAATAAGCTCCACCGTCAAAAAAGTAACAGGAAAAAAACTTTCTAACTTCATTCGCCTGATTCGGTGGCAGGTTAGTGACTTTTTCCGTAAAGTTTTTTTGCTTTTTTTTCGCAGGACAATTCTTGTCGATTAACGGAAGTTGTTAAAGTTCGGTGTCCACGTTGACAGCTTGTTTACAATGGTGCCCATTGATAGGAAGCTGGCAGTTGGCTGAACTAGTCCTCACTTAGACTGAGAGAAACTTTAATTTATTTGAGTTTTTCACGAAGTTGTTGAAAATCCCGGTGTATATATCGTCAACTTGTTGTTATCAATAATTAAACAGCTTATAATGTAACCCCCCCCCCCTTTAACTTTTAGTTCACCCTTTTTTGTCCTTTGTCTAATTCAGTGTATAGCATCGCTTAAAGTCTTAAAGGATAAATATCTTTTAAACTGTCAATTAGAATCTTTTATTTGGTGACATATTTAAGTCCGAACTGCACTTGATTAACGATAACTTCCCATATGTCGTGTTTTTACCCTTGCTAGTTGCAATCGGCCATTTAAACATTGGATCATTTGATTAATTGCTTGAATTATATTTTCTTTATAATTTTTATTGTGAAGTATAAAAAAAAAAAAAAAAAAAAAAGTAGAAGCTATATTTAGGTCTGAGCAAATGTCCAGTCATTAGACCCTCCCAGGCTTCTGTACTGCATTGTGATTGTTGCTATAGTAACATCCATCTATTAAGGGCGTTTTCAGATGCTGTTTTTATTTCCTGGGGCTGCTTGTGGTCAGAATCACACCTTCAATGGTCTAGCCTGGAAGGTGCAGCGACCAACACACTACTAGAGAAGTGTTCATCTGATCGGCTGTTTATTTCTTATTTGATAATTGCTGAACTTTGTTAACTGTAGGCACTGGAGTCCAGCATGCCGGCGAAGGATGACTGCTGCACACCTTTTGGGGATGGAGCCGAGGCTGACCTGCAGCAGCCACTGATTCTGGAAAGGGTTGAGAAGCAACCGGAGAAGAAATGGCATACGGTTCTATCAGATCGGGTGAAGAAGCACTGCTCATGCAGCCCGGAGAAGGTGAAATCCAAAATACTGGGCTTTGTCCCAATTCTGAAGTGGCTGCCTCGCTACAAGCTCAGAGACTGGATTCTCGGTGATATTATGTCAGGAGTTATCGTCGGGATCCTGCTGGTTCCTCAGTCCATAGCCTACTCCTTACTGGCTAATCAGGACCCTATATATGGTTTATACACGTCTTTCTTCTCGTCGATCATTTATGCCATTTTGGGCTCCTCCAGGCACATCTCTGTTGGAATATTTGGAGTTCTCTGTCTGCTTGTGGGTCAGGTTGTGGATAGAGAATTGGTTCTAGCAGGATACTCCCCAGAGAGCAGCATTGGTAATAATAGCAGCGATACTTTGTTGGCCGTTCAGGGGAACAGCAGCAATATGGGATGTGATAGGAGCTGCTATGCAATCACAGTAGGAGCAACGGTCACCTTCACTGCGGGCATTTACCAGGTAAATTGAATAAGTCTCTAAACAGGAAATTAGAATTGGGTTTATTTATTTTACTGTTATTTGATTATTGACATTTTTACAGCTGGTTTAGAGTTTAACCTGGCTGCTAACTCCTGTTAATCTCTTTCTCTCAGGTGCTGATGGGCCTTCTGCAGATAGGCTTTGTCTCCGTCTACCTCTCCGACTCCCTCCTCAGTGGGTTTGCAACAGGGGCCTCCCTGACCATCCTCACATCCCAGATCAAGTACCTCCTGGGCCTGAAGATACCCCGGCCGCAGGGCTGGTTCACTCTGTTCAAGACCTGGTATGCTCTGTTCAGCAACTTAGGAAAAACCAACATCTGTGACCTAATCACCAGCTTGGTATGCTTGGCGGTCCTGATCCCGTCAAAGGAGCTGAATGATCGATTCAAATCCAAGCTAAAGGTAAAAAGCTTAAGTTTTAGATTTGTGTTTCTTTCTGCATGTGTTAGACCAGGGGTTTTCAAACTGTGGGATTGTTAGCTCCCCCTCAAAGAAGCAATAGACAGCTGATCCCCACTACATAATTATTTCTGGTACTCAAGCACCATTTTCTCTTATTAAGTAATTTGTCCTTTTAAGCTTAAAATATTCTATTTAACATTCTGAAAAGCAGGTCTCCAACTCATCATTTCAAATCCCTGTCAGCTCCGAGGAACAGTCACCTATGACATCACATATTTTGATATAACCACATATAAACTCAGGACTACAGGTGTAACTGTTTTGGAGAACAGCACCACCCCTCTCTATTCTTTAAGCGTAAATGTTAATAATGTGTAAATGTAGTAATTTAGTTAAACAAAATCTTTCTTAAATAGATATATCTGCAAGACAACAGCAGCTCTTCACAACTTATACAGGGTTTCCGCAGGTCATTAAAAGTCATTAAATTAATATTTTTTTAGTGAAGGCCTTAATTGGCATTAAAATTCATTAAATGTGATTATAGTGGCATTTAAAATGCTTTATAAAAAAAAAAAAAAGAAAAAGAAACATTCATACAAACAATTTTGTCCGATATATCAGATATAACTGGTTCAGCGTGTTTTCGCAGATCTGCTTCCGGTTAATCGTAAATTCGTATGTTTGGATAAGAAACTCGAAGTAAAGAAAAAGCTAGAGAATGGGAAAATGCAAATTTCGACAAAAGTGTCTGGAAAACGAGGAATTCAAGACATGGCTGCAGACTGTCGACGGTAAAGATGACGAAGGATTTTGACGTGTCATATATGAGAGTCATGGGTACTTGTTGATGGCATTAAAATTAGTACTAAGAGCATTAAAAAGCATTGAATTAAAGTTACTCATTCCTGTATAACCCTGGGTATAGGAATAAGGAAAATGTTAGCATTACAACTTCAGTTATAAGTAACCGTCAGTCATATTTTAACCAGTTTTCGTCAATATGAGGTTGTAATGAGCAATAAGTGCAGCACATACCTGCATGTATATCCTTTTCTGCATAACATTGGTCCATGTTTCCTCTTTGTGTTTTGATAATTTTTAACAGAAACGCCATATTCACACAAGTATGTAAACCAGTTATTACAGACAGACGAAGGCTAGCTAAGGAGGCTATATGTTACATTAGTTTTTATACTTCCTGGTTTTTGTGTCTCCCCCTTAAAAAGCTCTGGGGCCCCTTGGGGAACCACACCCCTCATTTTGAAAAGCCCCTTGTTAGGCTGTTTAAACACTGAGAGAAAATCCCATTCTTTACGCCAAAATAAAAGCCTGAGTTATTGTTCCTCAGCTGCTCCTTTTCCTTTTCAGTTTTTTAATGCACTCGTCAAGGTTCTTGGCAGCACATTTCCCTCTGGCAGCAGGTTTAGGCTTAAAGTTGTCAAAATGACGCTAAAATAAGGTCGACATTGAATCATGAAACAGGTTTTGTTTTTTTACACATTTACATCCTTATTTGCACATATATGTGAGAACCTCATCCAAGGCCTTAAAGTCTGTGGTATGTAAAGGTGGCCCACCCACCAAACCCTGTGCTCCTTTGCTTCTGTCATCAAGTCAGACTCACCCTGTGTGCGGTTTTAGGTAGGTGAACATCCACCCCCAAACCCCCACCCCCCACCCCTCGGCCGGCAAACAGGGCGACCCTTGAAGGCAGGGATGAAGGTCCACTTTCTGAAGGGTTCTCGAAAAGTTGCTCCTTTAACGTAAATCAGCCAATGATCAGAGTTTTTTTTTCCTACTCAATAAAACCAACATGTTGCACTGGATATTTGCCTGCTCATTAATAGAATACATTTTTCTCTCAAGAACCAACAACAGTTTGGGGGAAATGGAAAAGATTTTCCAAGTATGCTTAAAAAAAAAAAAAGCAGGGAAAGTCACACAAATTGATAATTGAGGAATATATATATATATATATATATATATATATATATATATATATATATATATATATATATATATATATATATATATATATATATATGGTATTGGGTATAAAAAACTGAAAACATCATGAGGATAATATGAAATCATGAAGGATTTATATTTCCCCCCCCTTTTTACATTGGCAAATGTTTATGATGTGTTGTTCATTTGTTGTTTCAAAACGTCGTATATTAGACAGGATTATCAACAATTCTTTTTAGTAAGTCAACATTACTTAAACTTGTACAAAAAAAAAACTTTTATTGCACATTTTAGATAAACTGTCAATGACAAAACATAAAAATAATGAAATGCTTAAGACTTAATTGTTAAATTGATAAAGTATTTGATAGATGTATGTACAGCGGGTAAAATAGATACTAAACACGTCCCCGTTATTTATAGTAAGCGCATTTCTAAAGGTTCTATTGACATTCATATTTACCTGGTGTTGGGAACAACCCATGTAATCCATACATAGCAAGAAACCCAAACAAATAAGCACAGAAAAATATATAATTATGTGTAATGGTGTGATATCACACAGAGAGAACGTATTTATTATGCCTTTGTAGGTCATGACAGCTTCAAGTCTCTTTCTGTATGGAGAAACTAGTGGATCGGCTGTGATTTGGACCTATACTTTCACACAAATAGATTTTCAATTGGATCCTAGTCAGGGGATTGGCAGGGTCATTCTATCAGCTTTACAATTTTGCCTTTAAGTTTCAAGTGTGAATGCAAAATTGCACCACACCTGAAGGCGCAGGTACGTAGGAAGAGGGCGTAGCCCAGAAAGTGTCCAAAGATTGGAGGAAAGGATCCTGCACACTGCATGGCTCTCACTCATTCATTTATTGATGTATCGTTTTGGCCGGTATGACTTTCGTCAGCCTTTACTGTCATGAAATTTTCCTTGGATGACATCTTGGAAATGTTTATAGATCATCAGTCTGGGACAGGATGGCTTTCTGATCAACCATTGAATTCACATTCCTTTCTGCATTTTGTTCAATACCTTTTTTGTTTGTGTCATTTTCACATATTTACACAAAACTTAACTTCTGAGCTTATTTGTTTTGGGGTTTTTTTTTATGTATGGACTACTTCTGTTGTTACAAACAGCTGGTTATAATTAGGGATACACCGATCCGATATTTTTATCGGTATCGGTCCAGATATAAGGAAAAAAAACTAGAT